TAGGTTTTCACTTGCTGAGGCGATTGTTTGGTTGGCGATAAAATCGAAGATATCATTTTCAAGAAAGTGTTTTTTTTTTGGGTTTGATTTTGTGGTGTTCGAGTAATCTCCCCGAGCATTTTCTTCATCACTTTCTCCGCAACTTGGATTCAGGTTCGATTCATCACTTGATTGTTGACAATTCGATCCGTTTTTAGGATCAGTTTCAGTCTCAGTCTCTAGGGTTTTGAAGATGTTAAGGGTCGTTTAATCTTATAATTAAGCCTCCTGATTCGATGTTTACTATGATCAAGATTCAAGTCTGAGCTTATGAATCTTTAAGTTGTTTTCATTTCTTTTGTTGGATGGGTTTAACTTTCATTGAGCAGATTGTTTGTAAGATTTGCTTGGAACACTCTTTTTTGGCGTTTCTCATGAATTTCTTTCACTGAAAAATGTGATCTTTTGAATTGATTTTTATATGCTTTGATTCCAGCTGCAGTTGTGGTAGCTTTCCTCTTTTGATTGGAGAAAACAACAATGAAGAAGCTCTTCTTCTTTAGATCCGGTAATGGAACTGATAAACCGGCAGTGAGCGAAAAAGCAGCAGATAGTAAGATGAAGTCTGAACAAGAGTTCAATAGTCCCAAGTCACAGGGTGAAGTTTCTGGTGGTCCGGCTCTTAGACGAAGCCTTTCTTTGTCCTCGGCAGGTTTCCTCTTTGATAGGTTTGGAGAAACTTCCACGAATGATGTAACTAGCTCTGCTAAAAGCCACGAAAGGCAGCGGAATCATTCATCTCGGTATGCTTTCTCGGCCTTCTTATAAGATTGTTAATTAACAACTTTCTTTGTTTCTGGTGATATTTGTAATATGTTTGATTTCTTGGTTCGATATTTTGACGAAAATGTAATGAATTGCTATGTGCCAGATGCTTTACTCCAGAAAGACAAGTTAGAGAAAGACTGTGTGAAGCAGAAAAGTTTCAACATGATTCATCTGGGAGTTCTTCGTCTTGTTCTAGTAATGTCTCTAGTAAAGTTCTGGACCGTTATATTGATGGAGAAGAGCATTTAGAACGATGCAAGAAGAATAGTAGTTCCTCACACAGTGATGTCTCTGGGAGCATAAACCGAAGGAGGCTTCCCCCACGTGTTCAATGGACAGTCCCTACATCACCATCAGACACTTTAAATGAAAAACGAAAGTCCCAGTTATTTAGAGAAGCTAAAGGCACCCGTCTTCGTTTATCTTCTACCGATTGTGTGGAAAATGGGTTGAGATCGCCTCGTTCGCTTGCAAGAAATGTCATCGAAAGACTCTCTCAGACTCATGGAAAGTCAAAGGGATCAAAACATCAACCCATCACTATTCAAGATGTCTACGGGGGATCCCTTAATAGAACGTTTTACTCAAGCTCAGATGTTCCCGCCAATGTATCACTGGCTGAACATTTCGAACCCGTGAACGATTTTTATGTGCATAACGACGGAGAACACCAGCAAAACTGTTTACATGGTAAGAACATGTATAGGTGTATGGAAGAGGAAACTGACTCCGAGCTAGACATGAAAATCAAAGAAGCTGAGAAGAGAGTGAAATTGTTTTCTGAAGAATTGGAACAGCAGAAATGCCTTTCAGACTGTGACTTTGATGTTTCATCTTTGGTTGGGGCAATTAGAAAACTGGAAGATGAGAGGGTCAACTTGGCATTTGAAAATGTAAGTCTTCTGCGCTCCCAAATGGTTGAGAGGACTTCTGCGAGGGAAGAAATTAGACGGGTGAAATCAGATTGGGGCTTGCATATACAGAGACTAGAAAAGGAGAAGAGCGAGTTACAGGCTGGATTGGAGAAAGAGCTTGATAGAAGGTCAGGTGAGTGGACTTCGAAGGTCGAAAAATTCCAGCTTGAAGAGAAGAAGCTCAGAGAGCGTGTCAGAGAGCTTGCTGAGCAAAATGTCTCACTCCATAGAGAACTATCGGCTTTCCATGAAAATGAGACAGAGAATAAGGACATGATAACACATTTGGATAGAAGAGTTGCAGAGCTGACCACGACAACAGATGAATTGCATGAAGAGAACTCTTATCTTAAGCAAACTCTCTCCCAGTTACAAGAGAATTATGCAGGTGCTACAGAAGATAATGATTTTTTAAGAAGGAACTTTGAAGAGAAGGATCAAGAGTGCAGGGAGTTGCAGAAATCTGTTGCAAAGTTTCTGAGAACCTGCAAAGAACAAGGGAAGACAATTGAGGGACTACGAGATAGTGTTTCCGAGGAGAGTAAGAAGCAACCGTCAGAGAAATTGGATCGGTTGTTGACGAAATTGCAGATGGAGCAAGTTAGGTTGACAGGGGTGGAGCTTTCACTTAGAAGGGAAGTAGAATCAATGAAGCTCGAAACTGACACTCTTCGCCATGAGAATATCTGTCTGCTGAATCGATTGAAGGAAAATGGTGAAGAAACAGACATTACAACCCTTAAGCTAGAGAGTGAGATGAAGATGCGTGTCTGCTACTTGCAAGACCAAGGACTGTCGATGTTAAATGAGAGCAACCAGCTGTGTTGCAAGTTACTGAAGTTCATCAAAGGGAAATTAACTCAGTTTCCTGAAACCTCTCAGAATACGGATTCGATGAAGGATGGATTAAGTGAGCAATTTATGATTGAATCTGAAATGAAAGTCCAGGGAATGAGGCGTGGAACTGAAAACCTGAAGAGGAGTTTGCAAACGGTAACCAGTGTGGTGGCTTCAAGTTCAGAATCATCTTGCTCAAGTACTTGTAGGCCTAAGGAGCAAAGAAACCAATCCGTTGAAGTGAGTTTCCAAATGCATTCTCATTTATGTCTTCCTTTGGTTTGTACAGTACATGTAGCTTACGTTTTGCCCAATCTCATGTAGGAAACCCTGCAAGCCGAATTGAGAGCTGAGACTCTAATCACAAGTTTATTACGGGAGAAACTGTATTCCAAGGAACAAGAAATCGAACAATTGCAAGCAGAAGTAGCAGCAGCAGTACGAGGTAATGAGATTCTGAGATGTGAAGTCCAAAACACTTTAGACAATCTCTCGGTTAAGAACCACGAATTGAAGGACCTCAAGCTTCAGGTATATTACAAAAAGAAAAACTTATCTCATTGTTTTCTTTTTTGTGTGTGTGTCCTCAATTATGCATGTAACTAAACTTAACTCAAATTGTTATCAGATGTTGAAGAAGGAAGAAAACATAAACCGGCTCGAAACCAATCTCCAGGCTGCCGCAAAAGACATGGCGAGCTTAAAAACAGTATTACCGAAAGTGTCTGACGAAAGAGACCAGATATGGAGAGAGTTGAGACAATGTTGTGAGAAGAACATGCTCTTGAACTCAGAGAACCAGACATTTAAAGGGATGATAGAGAAACTGGAGGAGAAAGTATTAGAGAAAGAAGGAGAGATCACAATACTACATGACACAATCGGAAACAAGCATCTCAATATCCTTTCAAGTCCTGATTTTTTGGTATAAAAGTCGCTCTTTTTTTTTACACCTTTTTATCATTCTCTGGAGATTATAGATGTGATTTTAGGGATTTTTATCGTTCTCTTTTGTTTTGGATTTTGCTCATTCTCAAAGCTGGATTCTCTTGTTTCTTCTGATTTGTACTTAAAAGAGCTTATAAAAACTTTAAGAGTTGAAAGTTTATGAAAAAAAAAAAAGGTGATTATGATTTGATTAGTGATTATGATTAATGTATATTTTTACTAAACTTGAGCAACAAATTAGAGAACATTTCAAAAAGTATTAAAAAGTCAAAGCTTAAAAGTCAAAAAGAAATGGCGAGACAGGTAG